CAGGAGCTGGACTCGATGATGCTTGCGAGTGGCTTCCACCTCAGGACATTCTGTGATCCTGTGCGGGGACTCCCGGCACACAGCCACAGGGAGAGCTCTGCCGCTGCCGCTCGGGGCCCGCAGCGTCCCCAGAGCCCCTCAGGCGCCGAGCCCGGCCCTCGGCCCCGCGCGCGCCCGCCCCACCGAGCACGCGCCGCCACCGCCCCGCCCACCCGCGCGGTCACGTGCCCTGCGGCATGGCCGGCGCGCGGGGGGACGGCGGCGGGGACGGGAGCGGCGGGAGCGGGCCCCTCGTCCCTTCCTACATCTGCTCCTTCCCCGGCTGCGACGCCGCCTTCAACAAGGCCTGGCGGCTGTCCGCCCACCTCTGCCGGCACACGGGCGAGGTGAGCCGCGTCGGCTGGGAGGGAAGGAGGGGTCTGTGTGAGCGAGACGTGGGCGCCGCGCTGGGACCCCGCGGGGCACCGGGCAGGCTGCTTCACCTGCTCGGGGGTGCCCCACACCCGGGGGCTGCGCGGTGTGGCCGGAGCGGGCGCGGCCGGGGCATCCCGCTGACGGCAGGATGGCCTCCCCGAGCGGGTGGGTTTGCCCCTGCGACTGCTCCTCTCTTTCAGAGGCCGTATGTTTGCGATTATGAAGGCTGCGGCAAAGGGTTCACGAGGGACTTCCACCGCGCCCGACACCTCCTCACGCACACCGGGGAAAAGCCGTTCGAGTAAGGCCCAAGTTTTTACTTCTTAAGCTGAAGTGCGGTTTTTGTGAGGAAAGGAAGTTAAAACAGGGCAGTGGTAGAGAGCATGCATGCCTTTGGTGTCATAGGCACTGCCATAACTGTGCGTACACGGGGTGGGATCAAACCCCCTGTTCCGGCAGTGATCTGTAACAAGTGCTTAAAGGAATGGGCAGATCTCCCCCAAGAATACATTATTAAAAAGCTAACTTAGTCTCTGTCTTTTAAAGAATGTCTTCAAAGCAAACTTCTGTATTTGAGTTGTGAGTTTCAGTAATTCTTCTGTGTGTTGTTCTTGTACGATGACTTCTTAATCTGCCTAGGGAACAAGTCATTGACAGCAGTAATTGAAAATGCAGATCATTTGCAGGTGCACAACTGATGGGTGCAATGAGAGATTTGGAACAAAATCAAACATGAAAAAGCACATTGAGCGCAAGCATCAGAATCAGCAAAAGCAATATGTGGTGAGTAATAACCTTTGCACTGTAGAGTGGAGGCTAAACAAGCTCTTTCTTGTGTATCTGGTGAAATACTTCAACTTGCTATTACGTGGTGCTTGTGTAAGTTCAAATACCATAACTGGGATTTCAGCAAAGACGTGAACTGAACAGTCATTATTTAGCCTCTAATCAAAACTTAATTTCCTCAATAGTGTGACTTTGAAGGCTGTAACAAGTCTTTCAAGAAGCATCAACAACTTAAAGTTCATCAATGTCACCACACCAATGAACCTCCCTTCAAGTACGTGGATAATTTTAATACTGAACTTTAACACTTAAACACTGTAGATGAAAATAGGTGCATTTTCTCAGCCTTTTCACTGATGTGGCAGTAAAATAAAGAAATCAGTCTGTAGTCAGGGCTGCAAGTATATTTCTTGTACTAGTCCTTTGCTCAGTGATCTGTTTTGAGCAACAATCTTGGTGCTCTGTAACTTCAGCATTCCAGCAGTTTTATTAAAGATAACACAACACTCCCCCACCCCGCAGATTTTAGTTCATAGTTTGACATACAGCCATAAGAACTTGCACAGTAATGAAAAATGCAGCTACCTTTATTTCCCAGTAGGAAGCAGTGACCTGACATTGAGTAGTGAGTAGTATGTAGAAAAAGAGGACAGACTTGGACACTAATCTTGGAAACTGTGCATTGCGGCTCCATTTGGGTAACACGTGACTATAGATCTGCTAAAAGGAAAGTTCAGTCTTGTATTTCTTGCAGGTGGGTCACACTTAACATGAGTGTTCTTCCACTTCAGTGAAATGCACTACTATGGTTGGATGACAGCCAAAAATGTCGGTGCTCTGCTGGTTCTGCACAAGCCACTTAAACCTTCCACTTTCTGTCCTTCTATGTTTGAAGAGCCTGCTGTGTGGAGATGATACAAGGCTTGACTCTTCAGCTAAAGCTCAACTTGCTGTATATTTGGAAATGATACTATTGTTCTAACTCTCAAAGTCATCCAAGTCTATTGAAAAACTATTATGGAATTTACTTTTACAAGGTGGAGGGACACACACAGATTGTAGGTGAAGGGAAACTTGAATTATTTTGTTAATTTTAATTGTTCTTGATTTAACAGAAAGTAGGTAGATACAGTGAAAGAAATGAAACTACTGCTATTTTGTACCTAGATGTAATAAAGAAGGATGTGGAAAGTGTTTCTCTACTCCAAGTCGACTGAAGCGGCATGAGAAGATACATGAAGGTAAAACTTTTTTTCTTTTTAAGGTTATGTTTCAGCAAAGGAAGAAGAACTGCTTCCAGTGCAGAGTATGCACGGATGCATGACCATCTCAAAGTGTTCTGGGCCTAGTGATCCAGACAAGACAAGACACCCATTTTGAATCGTAAAGCGGGATATAACTGCAGGGCATTGCAGTGTTCAGTTATGTGTGTTTGTGGCAGTCTGAGCAGAGTTCAGGATTACTTCAGTTATTTCTTCTCCTGAGGTGTTTCCTTGCAGATAATCCATCTTTTGGAGATGGGCTGGTAGTAAAGGCATTAGCCTAGATGTCCAGAGCTTAGGATCAGTTGCCAATTCTGCCACAAATTTCCTATGGAGCCTTGGCAGAACCATGTGTATTTTTAGTTATTAATGAACCTATGTGAGAGGCTTTTAAGTGAAATCACCAGAATGTGGCCATGTATATTTGAGCTAATCCTGCTGCCCTCCTATCCATTCTTTCACTGACAGATAACCAGCTTTCCAGTGATAGGAAAAAACCAAAACCAAATCAAATAAACCCAACAGACTAGGAAGAGTACCCAGAAGGCTGTGATTTGTGCTGTGATTTGTGCTGTGATTCCCTGTTCTTAAGAGAAGGACTTGTTCGTAGGTTTTTGAGCATTCCAGTCCTGGGATTTAAATAGTGTTGACTTTCTGTGGTTCCTGCCTGATAGAATGGTAGAATCTCTTTAGACTCTGGAATACTACTGTATGGTCAGTATTTCTTCATAATATGCAGCACAAATATTTATATAGAAGTAATATATATTACTAGTTATTCTCATCTATTTGAGAGAAAGTGTATGGCTGGGAGGAAGTAGCTTTACTGAAGCAAGGAGAGAGTTTTACAAAATCATTTAGGTCAGAAAGGATCAGCCACCTTGTCCAGCTCCCTCCTCAAGGTGGGGACAGTTAGACCAGGTTGTTGAGGACCACATCCAGTGGTGTTGAATGGTTCCAGGGCTTGGGCTTCCACAGCCTCTCTGGACAACTGGTGTCAGCGATGTAAGATTTCTTACATAAAATTGCTAGGATTTTCTTTTGTTCTAATTTGTGTTGATTGTTTATTGTCTCTTTTCCCACTCCTGTGCAATACGGGAAGAGATAAGGAATAACTGGCTTTTAATTTTCAAATGCTGGAAGTGTTCCCCCCTTGTAAAACTGGACTGTTTGCCATACCCTCTGGGATTGTAAACATCTGTTCCATCCAACAGGCTATGCATGCAAGAAGGAAAACTGCTCATATATTGGAAAAACTTGGACAGAGCTTCTGAAACATAATAAAGTCAGTCATGCAGGTAAATTCCGAATACATTAGTAAACTTATGATACAAATAGGAAACCAACTTCTAATCTGGAGTCCTTGCTGTACTCATTTCATCAGCTTGTCAGTCTTCCAAACTTGTCTACTAACTTTATTGGTGAAGTAGCTGTCACTCCAGATAGACCTTTGATGAAAATGCTGCTCAGTATTCTAACTTAGGTTTGTGATAGAGTTAACACAAATCTGTTTTATGTAGGATTTCAGATCTGGATTATTCCTACCGCATTATCCTCCTGAAGTCTCTAAGTTGCTAGCATTTTGTGTTGATTTTAGCACTGTTCTAATAGACCACCAGGGTTTGATTCTGAGCTGCTGTAAGAAGTTATTTATTTATACTCTGCCTTTCTTTCTCCCACTTAGAGCCAATAGTCTGCAGTGAATGCAACAAAACTTTTAAACGGAAGGATTACCTCAAGCAGCATCAAAAGACACATGCTGTGGAGAGGGAAGTCTGCCGCTGCCCCAGAGAAGGATGTGGAAGAACGTACACAACTTTATTTAACCTTCAAAGCCATATCCTCTCTTTTCATGAGGAGAAAAAACCATTCTCTTGTGATTATCCAGGCTGTGGAAAAGTGTTTGCAATGAAGGTATGTGTTTTTTTAACTGTTCTTTTCTGAATCCCATTATCTGAAATTATAAACTTTTTTTTTTTCCCTCCTGCTCTTTGTAACTGTAGCAGAGCCTAGCAAGACATGCAGTTGTACATGATCCTGAAAAAAGAAAGCTGAACTTGAAAGTAAGTTACACTCTTGGAAAGTCTCACCACTACCCTGTCACTGCAGAGGAGGGAAAACTTTACCTGTTTTATAATGTGACTTCAAGCAGGAAAACAGGTCAAATATGTTGGTAATTTATGAGATTCTTAGTTTATGAAGTTCCTTTAGCTAATGCAGTCCTGGCCTCTACTTTATTTTTTCCCCCACTGCAATAGTAGTTTTTGCTCCACAGATATATTAAGTTTACTAATTCTGGATCTATTTCTGCCAGGCAAAGCGTTCTCGTCCCAAGAGGAGCTTAGCCTCTCGTCTCAGTGGCTACATTCCTCCCAAAACACAGCCAGGAAAGGATGAAGTTGTGATGGAAAGCAAGACAGCAGATAAGCTCGTAGAAAATGGAATACCAGCTGTTGAAATTCAGACTCTGTAGCAAAGGTTAACCGAGACAGTGTTCTTCATGGAATGACCAATGCAAAGCTCAACAATAACTTTAGATAAAGTTAATTTTTTTAAATTTTATTTTTAAATAAATATATATTGTTTACACCGCTTCAGAAAGTCATTGATGCAACTCATTTGACTTCAAGTCTTCATTTTTATCTTTCTTTACTGTATTGTTTTTCTTGATTTCCATCTTCTGGTGCTCTTTCAACTCTTTATCAGACATGTGCCTGAAAACACAGGTACTCACTCCTTCTCTAGCAACTTTTGGCTTGGAAAGGTAAGTTGCTTTCTCAGACACAGTCTCCAAAATTTGATCAAAAAGCATGAACTAAAAAGGAGGAGAAAAATGGAACTAAATGAATGCACAGATACAGGTAGAAAAATATTTCAAGCTGCTCTGTAATAACATGATCTGCTTAGTTTAGCTATTAGCTGAACCAAGCTAGTTCCTAGTCCTAGTTTGAACACTTCAGCTTGTCCTTTCCTAACTGTTCTTTACTCATAAGCAGGTTTAGGCAAGTCACTAGAGGGGATTCAGCCATTTCCTAACATTTAGGCTGCAGTGCTGACTCACAGTGTTTTGCTCTTTAAGGGTGTCCATTAGAGTGGTCTCCATGTGACTCCTCTGCACCCTCCTCTTCCTCTAGATTCAGATATATTATTATATGAGGCTTTTTTCTTAAGCGGTAGTATTGTCCTAAGGTAAGCAGGACCTGGTAGTACTGAACTGAGTAACAGTGCATTCATGTAACACACCGAATTCCTAACCTCATTACTAAGCCTTCAAGGACACTGTAAATCAGGACTATGACATGAAATGTTCTGTTCCCTCCCATCATCAGTTCTTCCTGTTACTCTTTCCCTGTGAATTTGGCTTCCTATAAAAAGTATTGGTTTTTTTGGATGAAATGCTGTCAAAATTTTCTCCAGCAATTTAGTTGAGACAATCGTCAAGAACACCTAATTCACTAGAAGAAAAAAATAGTCTTACACAGAATATTTATTAAAACCCCATTTTTGTGAATGACAGGAAGTCTCAAGGCCCTGCAATTATACTGGGAAGTTACCATAAGCTGCTTAACATTTTTAGTGATGTTCATTTTGCTAGTCTTGGAACACCATTCCAATAGTTTTTCATGTAGGAATGGACAACTAACCTTAGCCAAAGTTGCATAAATGCAGCTCCAGAAGAACTGTTGGTGAAATAATACAGCTAAAATACAGACTTTTTTTTTTTTTAAAAAAAGTAAAGTTTTCAGAGTGGGTGAGCTGGCTAAAGGCATAGATCAGAAAATTTCACTGGCCCCATTAACAGGCTGGTGCTGCATAGGAGTAGGAGCTGCTTAGACTCTGCTCTCCAAGCCAGTACTGCAGCTGGATTGTTAAGGAAGCATGGTATTTGAACTGTCTCTCTGGGACTACTTTTCTTCACCAGTGTTTGAAGAGGAGCAGCTTAAGGCAGGCAACCATTACTTTCATGGGGCCTAGATCTCCACTGAGATACCAAAAACTGTGGCAGTACTCAATAAGAAGATCAATACAGCTGCAGCTGTTAAATGACATTGACCGGTCCCACTTCCCAGGAGTGCACTTACCATGTCTGTACTGCTGCCTTTGGCTTGCCGGATGGTAACTTTAACATGGTGTCTCTTTTCAATCCACTGTGCTATCTGTTTAGTCTTGGTCTCTAGGTCGTTCTTGGCAATAGCTGAAGAAAAGGATAACTCCTTTTGCACTACCCCTGTTTAAAACAGAATTGAAAGTCTGTTGGCTTAACATTTGACAAACCTGTACTAGTTGCTCTCTTTTATCAGCTTATGGTGCTTTGTCTGCTTGACTCCCTCCTCCCTGCTTTCTCAGAGCATCCTGATCTCACTGTCTCAGCATGCACCACTCACCTGAGAGGGTGGCAACTTGAAGCTCTCACACTTACTCCTGCAAATGGGAGACTGAGTGCATGTTTGAGGCACACAGGGAAAATCTCTCAGGGTCAGAAGGCTTAAGGTATTTTTAATTACAGTCTTGTTCACATGATCCACAATGTGGGTCTAACAAACAGGTAAGCATTGCATCTGGAATTAAGGACTTAGTGTGCAAATTCCTGTGTTCTGCACATAGGACAGCTGAAGGTAAAAGCGCTGACGTTAGACAGCTCTTCATCTCAAGCCCATTTTATTGAATGGTGAGTGCAATATTCAACTGGAAGTATGACAATGCCTTGTAATATATTTGAACATAATATATATATGATGATATCTACAGTCTCTTCCTCCTTAAAGTTTCTCTAAAGCAGTTACCATCTGAATAATATTTTTGTGGTTTCTTGAACAAAGCAACTCACTATCACAATAATGTTCTCCTCTAAAATCAGGACTCTACCCAAAGCATAGCTATCTTCGTTAGCCTGAGGATATGAGAGGATACAAGGTCACGTGCCTTTTCTAAAACCTCTTTGCCAAGCTCAGTTTGTTAAACTGCTGGAGCAGGTGGTACTAAGAAAAAAAAAACAAACTGGAAAGTGTTAAATACTGAAAAAGTTCTCTTACTCTGTACAAGAAAGGGCTCCAGACTTTGTCTTCCTAGCAGCAAATGAGGAAGAGAGTGTTTCATGACTACTGGTGACAAACTATATAATTATATTAGTGTATCTGGTCCTTAGTTTATAAAAACTGCCTGTCACTCTATGCCTTAGTAAAAGAACAGAAATTCAGTGAGTCTCATGGAACCAGAGCCTAGTTATATTCACTCACATAAAGATATTTTTTTAACAAGTCAGCAGATGCCAAAATAGCAAATCCTAAGAGGGCAATAGAAGGCTTCTCTGTGGAAGACTGGACTAATCCAAAATTTTATTTTCACCACTGTAAATCCTTAATAGCGTGGACTGCAGTGACATTGCTTTGGATTTACACAAATACAAGTAAGAGGATTTAATCTGTTGAAACCACTTTTAATGCAGCATTTTTCAAAGTCCTCAGCATTGTAGTGTTTACAGTGCACATACCTTGCTTTGGACTTGCTTTTTTCTTCTCTGCACGTCTAAGCTGCTCTTCATGAATCTGCTGCCCAGTCATTAGTCTGTAAACTGGAGGTTCTACGTTCTCATGAAGCAGAACCAGTTTCAGGCCATGCTGATCCATAAGTCTGAGTGCCTCTGCTCGGTGCATGTTCCCTAAGCTCTCCCCATCCTGGTTGATTACGTGCAAAATACGATAGGGAATTCTTCGCCCAACGCTTCCAAATGCTGCTTTACTTTTTGGTTGTGCATGAGATTTTTCATCTGTACAATATGGTTGAGTAAGCCCAAACACAGCTGACTTCCTAGGGTCAGGTACCACTATCCAGAATGGAGAAAAGAGCCACTTTTGTGCTGTCTGTGGCAGAAGAGTACCAAAGAACCTTTTTGTATATCTGCTCTCATTTCTGGCCGCTTGACATAAATATTTCATTGTGCACAAGGCAGTCATTCTGAGGAAGAAGAAAAAACAAGTTACCCCATCAGTCAGATTCTTCTAGTTACATTAGAAAGACTTGACTCCAGTTCAATAAACCCTAGTGTTTGTAACTACTCTTTTAAAATGATACATGGTACTACCATACAGAATCATCAATCAACAGTCATTTTACAGTAACAAAGGGATTTAACCCAGAGAGACAATCTGACAAATGAGCAAAATGTATGAGTTGATGTTACCTTCTGTATCTTAAAATCTGAGCCTGAACTCCTTTAAAGAATGCAATACTTCTAGTTCCTTTCTTCTCACTTTCAAATTTTAATCTAAATAATTACAGGCATCTATCCTGACACGGTACTCACAAAGCTATAAACTTTCAAACATGCTTCCAAATATACCCATGCTTGAAGACTACTGAAACTCATCTTTGAGACATTTCTTCCACTGGATTTTTTTTTTCCCATTCTTCCCCGGTTCATGAAATCCCCCTGGCAATTTTGCTGCAGCTCCCCATTATTTGCATTTTGTTCAGACCTTCAGAAATTGTCCATTTTCTAACAGCTGCAAAAAACTTGGGAAATAAAGAGCAAACTGTGAGTACTCTCTGCAGTTTTCCTATTTTTTGTTTAAAAGGCAGCAATTGCAGGAAAAGCCAAGGATGATGCAGGAAACCAAACACATGTCATACCAGAGGAGTTGGCAAGAGTGAGACCTTTTTTGCCCAGGAGGGAATGTGACTCTGCTCTATAAATACATGCATGCATACACATATATACACACACATATATGACATGGTGTAAACATGCATCCATGTGCATACATACACATGGAAAAGGTGTAAACCATCAGCAAGGATAAAAAGCTATTTATAATTCTAAGCAGTGTTGGCACAGGAACAAGTAAAATGACTTGTCTGTGAATAAACAGTCTGAAAAGGGGACAGTCTGGAGCCTAGGATGGATATCATGCCTCAGCAGCAGGGACAATGTCCATGCAAACTGCTTGAAGAAGGAGCCAGAGGAGTTCATGAACAGGGCAGTCTGATAACAGCTGTGTGCTACCTAGATCCAGAACTCAAGCTAGCCACAGGGCACAGAAGAGAAGTAACATGATTTCCACAGCAGCCTAAAACCAGCTGGTAGAGCTACCTTTCCTTCCTGCCCTGGGCTCTGCCTCTGTCCAGTCCAGACCCTTGTAAAAACAGCTTTTTGTCTGGCTGTGACAACAGCCCTATGACTGAACACCCACTGTCAACACCCAAGTATCTTGGTGTATCATCAGTGCAGCCACAAAAAAGCCATGATGTCCTTATTTTTTTCAATGGCTTCATAAAGCAGCTCTGGATCATGCACTGCAGACTTGGTCTGCAATCTGTACATCACTGCTCCATACTGAATGATATAATTAAATTCATTTTCTATTCAGAAGAGCCTGGCTTGCCCTTGAGAGTTACTGATTTCTAAAATTAAGTAACAGTATCTCATCAATGGAACAGCAGCTTGTTTTAAGGAAATGATGACCTTGCTCTGCTAAACACATGGTGTTGTTGGTATCCTCCTTCATTCTCTGACGCTATTTAAATCTAATAAATCTAGCCTTAGCAGTCTGAAAGAAAACAACTCCTTTTTTATGGAAGGGTTTTTCTTTGCCTAACACAGCAAAGACACGTGTGTTTCGCCTTGTGCGTTTCGCTCGTCCTTGCGTTGGCAAGGCCGCCTGACTCCGCTGGGTGGGAGCTCCGCTGGGTGGGAGCGGCAGCTCCGGGCACACCGGGAACCGCGGGAGCCGCCGCGCTTCCCATGCCGGGCAGCAGTCACGGGAGGGGGGCGGCATCCCGTGGGTGTCCCTCCTGTAAACAGGGAAGAAGGGCTGTACGTGGGTGTGACCGTGCCCTGTCGCGTCCGCCTTCCCGGCTCTGCGTGTCGCGGAGGTCACTGCGCGTGCCCGTGGCTCCCTGTGACCCCCTCTTACCTGCCGGCCGGGACGGGCCGAATGGAGCCGAACCGCCGGCCCCGGCCCGCCGAAGCAGCCGAGGGACCGGCCCGAGCCGCCGGGAAGTTGCGGCACGCCCCGCCTTTCCCCTTTCCTTTTCCTCCTGCTCCTCCTCTTCCTCTTCCTCCTCATGCGCCTCCGCCTCTCGCTCCCGCCCCGCGCGTGCCCGTGGGCGCGAGCGCGCCTCCGCTGCTGCGCGCCCGCGGGAGCGCGCGGGGTGGGAGCGGCCGTGCGAGCGCGGTCCGTGTGTCCCTGTGTCCGTATGTGCCTGCGTGCTCCTGCGTTTCCAGGCCGACACACCTGGCGTGCCCCGTTCCCTTTGTGCGGTTGTTGGGAGCTGCTGTTTCCCTGCGTGGCTCTGTGGGTTCCCGCTGTGCCTTTGCTGCGCTGCCGTGGGTGTGAGGGCCGCAGCGGGGACAGGCTCCGCACTGTGCCCTGGGGCCGTCCCTGCAGGGCCGCTTGGTGCTGCCAGCGGGGATTGTGTGGGTGCTGAGCGCTTTGTGTGGGTCTTTTGAGGCGTAGAATCATAGAATTTGGGTTTGGGTTGGAAAGGATTTTTAAAGCTCAACTTCTCTAATCCGTCTGCAATAAGCAGGACAGCAGGAACGTCTTCAACTTCATCAAGTTGCTCAGAGCCCTGTGTGTCCTGACTTTGAATGTTTCCTGGTATGAAGCATCCACCATCCCTCTGAGCAACCTGTGGCAATATTTCTTTACCTTCCCTGTAAAAACTTATTCCTTACCTCTAGTCTAGATCTACCCTCTTAGTTTAAAACCATAACTCGTTGTACTGTCACTACAGGCCCTGCCAGAAAGTCTGTTCCCATGTTTCTTACAGGCCCCCATTAGGCACGGGAAGGCTGCTGTGAGGTTTCCCCGCCGCCTTCTCCAGACGGAGCAGCCACAGGTCTGTCTCCATAGGAGAGGCGCTCCAGCCCTCAGAGCATCTTTGTGTCCCTGCTCTGGACTCGCTCCAGCAGGTCCGTGTCCTTCCCGAGCTGGTGACCCCAGAGGGGGATGCAGCCCAGCCCCGGGCTGTGTGACACAGCTGTCCCCGTGTCTCTGTCCCCATCAGGGGCTCCGTGAGCGGGGTGCGGGCAGCGCACGGCACAGCCGAGGCTGCAGGGGTCAGCAGCGTGTGCGGCTCTGCAGCGGCGTGAGTCAGACCGAAGGCGTCTCGGGTGCTTGGCTTTGTTACCTTCTTTGGTAGGAGAGGCTCTGCCTCGGGTTTACAAGCTCCTCCGTCAAATTTGGAGACAGGAGCCTTTGAAAGAGAAGCTGAAATTCATGTGCAAGCGTCATGTCCCCAGCTGTAAGGAGCACGCTGAGCATCAGCCACTGAACAGCACTGGAGTTTGCGGAGGACCTCTCTCCGGAGCCCGGGGGTTCGTGCCTATCGAGGGATGCTCTTTAGCCATCCGGGCAGGAGCTGGAGCGACACTCATACTGAACGTGTGCTTGTGTTTAGAATTTAGTACAAAATGGAGCTATGGGAAGCAGCTGTCTTTCCTGCCTAAAAATAATCAGAACTTTTTATCTTATATGCTTTAGGCCACAGCTAAGTGACCCTTCTTCTCCCCCTCTTCTGTTCAGGAAGAAGAAATGCAATGAAAACCTGACCTTTATGATTTCGTGTTGAAAGCTTTCTGTTCTTAACTGTGTTCTTAGAACGATTCAGTTTCATGTGCTTGCTGGTTTTGTTTTGTCATTGTGATACATACATGTAAAAAAAGGTCTGTCGTTGTTTCATGCTCTCCATGGTAGACATCAAGTGGTAATTGTGTGCAAACCCAGAAAACTTCACTAAATCAGTTCACAATATGAAGTTCATTCATATAACCTTATCCTCATTAAAAGTCCTCACTGGCAGTAATGAATTTGGAAAAATGCCAATAACAGAATTAGCCAAGTAGATGGTGAGCTGTGTTAAGACCCTGAATCACAACTGTAGCTTCTCTTATTATATGCAAATAGAGCTGAATTTTTCCATCCTGCTCTTTTTTTTTTTTTTTTTTTTTCACTCAGGCTCTTTGCTTTTAGAGTTTTAAGCTCTTTGGGAGCAGGGATTACCATCACATCAGTAGAATGCCTAAGAAAACTGGATCTCAGTTTGATGCTATTGAAACATAAATTATTGAAATTCTACAGTATCCAGTTGTGGAGAGTGAAATATTCCACAATAAGAAAAGGTGAAACAAAAAAGATTTTTACTGCTCCTTTCATGGTCTGGAAATCAAGTGTGGAATTTGAATAAGCATGAAGGGAAATTTTGGCAGAGCTGAGGCCTGGAGAGATATTTTTTCATCATCAGCTCTGCAATATGCATTAGAAGAGAGCGTGTCAGCAGCCCCCTTGCAGTTAGTGACTATTGCCACTCCGAGAACCATCCCCACAAGACAGGTAATTTCCAGCAGTGTTAGTAGCAGCAATAAAGCTAATAATCCTCTTCACTAGAGATAAAAACTACCTGCATGAAAGCATTCCTTCTCTCTTCTCTCTTCCCATTGTTTAATTTTGTTAAGTTTAAACCTGATGCTTCTTTTACTTCAAGCCTTTCTAATTAAATATAGTGTGCCAAGAAGTAGTGCAGCCTTCTAATGGAGTTTGTCCTCAATTAATGTGATCTTTCTGGGAGTTCATTATAATCTTTCTCCTTGTTCTTTGTCTCATGTCTGTTTACACTGTAATTGTCCTGGGGCCCTGTTTTTATATGTGCCTGCCACAGTGAGACTGCAGTCTTAATTATTTGAAAGACACTATCATAATAGGTGCAGTTAATAACTTTCTTCCTTCTACTTTGCCTGATGCACATCATCTTCTGCCCACCCCTGACAGTACACTCAGTCATTTATTTGCTTTTTAAATCTTTAATCTTCATCTGCCTTTTCCCCCCCTCTTTTTTAAAATTTGACATTTACTTACAAAGTTGTTGTAAAATATATATAACTTTGTTATTTTTTGTGCCATATTAAGGCCTGTTCTGCTAGACCTTGTGCCAAACTGTAGACATTTCATTCCCCAGCTAATTTTAAATGCAAATATATGAGAAGGGAAAGGATGGGTGGATGGAGAGATTTCTGGTCCTCGTACATGAGCAGTGCAGGGATTTGCTAGTGTGGAAGTTATTAGTGTTAGTAATTACTGTGAGGCTCAAGATGCTACTGAGAAACTTCTTCCACATTAATAACTGATCTGGTTGTTACAACTGGGGGACGGTTTCAGTATTCCCTGCGGATGTTGGAAACTGGTTCCAATCCTTCTGTGTTTTGGGTTATTTTCAAAATCAAAGAATCACAGAATCATCCAAGTTGGAAGAGACCTTCAAGATCATCTAGTTTAGCCATCAACCCAGCACCAGCATAGTCCCCACTCAAAATCTCCCCCCAAAGCTGTTCATGATGGGTGCAGTGAGCAATTTCTAATGCCCAGGAGAGAGTGAGGATGCCCTTAGCTGGATGACAGTGTGTGTTCACCTGGAGACCCGAGGCTATGGTTTACTGTCATTCAGACTTCATCACTCATTTTGTGGCAGCAGGAAGCAAGCTGCTGAAGTGCCTTACACCTGCAAGGAGCTCATACCTGCAGGCTCTGGGTGGAGGGGACTGGTCTTTCCTCGGTCCATGGTGAATGTCTTGCTGCTTCCTAAACTGGAGCTGTGCATACGAATATCTGGTAAAAAAAAATTCAAGTGCCAAATGAGATCATCAGGAGTTTATTACTGATATTTTTGGGTTTATGCAATGCCTGGGACCCTTGGACATGGAGCAGTAGCCCTGGGACAGCAGGTTTTTCACTCTTACTACTAAATCT